CGAGGCACTAAGAACACTCACCGGGCGACACATGTCAACGCGCCAAGGGAATTTCATAAAAGCCTCAGGTCGACATGGAGTCACTTTACTTGGGTCAGGTAGGGAATGTGGGTCACAACAAGTTGTCGCTATCACAGCTAATACGCAGACTTGCAGAGGCTATGGGGAAACAAAAACAAGCAGGGCACCCTCGAATGCCTGGGCTGTGCGCCTTGTGTGGCCCTTTGGCTCGCAAGTGGCTCAATTTTTGTTGGTGGCAACGCAGCAAGAATAAACAGAATCAATCGAAGGGTATTCCTTCCCCTCAGAGCACAGAACAATTCTCCCCCTGGAGCAAGCCACCCTTCTGAATCAGCCGGGTAAATGAACTTGTTGTCGACATTCGTGGAACCACCTTTGCCATTGTACTTTCAATGTTGGAAAACGACGGCTGGGTCAATATTGAAAACAAAAAACGAAAGCGCTTCGAGAACACTATTCCTCCCATTGCACACACTTCCACGTGGTATCGAGAGCCACCAAGGCGAATGTTGAGGATAACAAAAGCAGGGATTCCTTACTTTCTGCGGTGCTTGCCGCCCGAAGATACCAACAAAGTGCACTGCAACTGTCCCTTGCGACTCCCGCAAGAAAGGAGAAGCAAGCTCAGGGGTATCCCATGGTATCCCGATGAAGGGGAGGGGGGAACCACCTGGTAATGCAACAGGTTGACTAATCCGGGCTGGACGTCACGCACGTCGCAATCCAATTCAGCCAGCGTGCCGATCCAGGCACGGAAGGCGGGCACAAGATCTGCGAGCCTGACAGGGGTCCCGCTCAGTGAGTATAGGTTTGTGGATGGTGCCAACTGGGGATTGTGCATCCAGGCAAAATCCCTTGAAAGGAAAGACAACAACACAATGCTGCAATTGTCAGTGCGGTATCCCTTCAAACGAGGTTCCCCAGAGAGTGCCACTGCCCAGTTCAGAGTGCTGACCGATAGTGTGAGACTTGTGTGACCGGCCGCCAACATATTACCATATCAAGGGCCTACAGCGCATGGGGCGTGTGGGTAAGAGCAGCAAAATGTTTAGATGGCCGACTTGTGCCATGCATGCTAGCTCTCGAGTAGCAGCTTGTCGTCGAGACTGCAGCAAACACATGCGAGATCCCCTCACTTACGCAAGGAAGATACCTGAAAACGTGGATGGTCAAAAGGCGGGGATCCCTGCAGATGGCTTTGTTTCGGAAAATTCCCAATAAACCCGTACTTCCCCCCACCCCCAAACTAACCAAAGACCAGTCATTAGCCAGGAGTTGGAAGCAGGGACACGCCCAGGCCAGGAACATGAGCCCCGCATGTTTGGTTTCGGACAATTCAATTGATTCTGTATATCATAGAACCCCCAACCATCATTGGAAGAGTCTACTTCATAAGGGGGGCATCGCTACACATGCTGTGCCCGTCACTCTGGCTGAGCTGAGAAGCAAGAGCCCGTGAGATTGAGGCCGCTGTCGCAGCTCGGAGTACAATTCTCCCCGGCCTCGCAACGACATGCCAGAATTTGTGGCGGGAACTTCAAAGCCATCTGAAACCAGAGATGCGAGTCTTCGAAAACAAGCGGCCGAAAAGAACCAGGATTGCAAAGGGGGTATCGCCCCCTTCAACTGAAGCATCACTTCTAAACTAAACCAGAACAGCTACGGCTCCGTTCTGCTTTTTGTCCGCATGCTTCTGCTTTTCCCGAAGGGAGTGCTTCACTCGAGGCACGGCCAGCTGCGTCACCGCAGCCCCATCTCTGATGCAGCTGCCCCCGGTCACCGTGGGCAACGTGCACACCGGCGGGCTGCTGGGCCAGCACCAGGCGGCGCGCACCTGGCCAGAGAACGCTTGGAGTCGGGGAGGGCCATGGGCCCTTCTTGGAGAGATTTCCGGGGTGTCAGGGGTGATGCCTCAAGGGGACATATAGGAAAACCCGTGGGTTAAGATAACTTGCGGCCCTAGATTTTCCTTCTTGGCGAGTTTTCCTTCATACAAGTAGATGCTTTAAGGGGAAACATAGTGGAGTACAAACGATTCTTACATTGAAGAACATGGCAATAATGTGACAAAGATTTCTGGCAAGAGGGCCACTGTGGCCTCTCTGGACATAACTCGGTGCGGGGATCCGAAAACTCGCCGTGCAAAGCTATCAAAGAGGCAGGTTTGTCACACGGGGGTTTCGATGTAAGCCGCCTGACTCTGGCACTGAGTCGCCAGAGGGAAAGGTGCCCTCCGTGAGACTCCACAAGGTCCGTTCCACTGACACCAACTCCTTTCAAAGCGAGCTCTCGGTTGCTGAAACAGCTTAAAAGGTGTTAATGTTGTGTCGCCATGATGCGGAAATCAAGGTGAAACGAATGACCCAGGGCTTGCAAATCACGCATAAACACAATCGTAGCCGCATCGTTCTTCTGCGAAATCCGATTTCCTCGGGTTGAATGTGGCGTCTGCGAAACCCGCACTCGAGCCACTCGAGCGCATGTCAGCCATCGAGCAGATTTTGCCGGCTCTCTTGTTTGAGCTGTAGTAATGTTGTATATTGAGACATGATCGGAAAGCTTGGACTTCAAACATACTCTGTTTCTCTCGATCTATTGTACGTTCTCTCTCTCATGATATGGTGCTGAAGACAGGAGGGCTTCACCAGAGCAACGCGGCCCAACACTAATGCCCAGCTGGGAGATGGTAACCTTGCTTCAACGGCAACCACCAGGCCTCAAGGTAGCAAGCAACTTTTGCTACCTCATAATACCTGCAATGAGGCAGCGCCCATGCTCCCCTTTCTACGACAGGCGCCGAGTTCAAACTGGAGCGATTTCCGCTTGTTTGTCACATATCAGACATAAATCCACAATACGTGTACGCATGCGAATGGTGCGAGGGAAAAACACAAAACACATCGAGTGACTTGTGCGCTGTCGCATCGAGCTCGACACCTCGATCGGCTCCTGCAGTTTCTTTTTGCTTGCAACCGACACAAAGGCCAACCGTTTGGAGGGACGATTCACACAGAAAGCCACAACTTTGTAAACCAAACAGGTCTGTGTGAGGTCGTGACTTCCTTGGATATCAAGTGCACGTCAAACAAGGCTCAACAATTACAAGCGCACCTCGCGCCTGCCAAGTCTGGTTCCATTTTGCATGTGTGTTCATTGTGTACCTAAAACTGGTATGCTTGTTGTTTGCCTTGACTCCTGATGTGTGTGTGTGTGTGTGCTTTGTTCTAAACTGGGTGCTAAATAGGGGGGTGGAAATCCATCCCGGTTTGGTTTCCTAGCAGAAATCAACAATTACTAACTATGGGCTGTTTGGGTCTGATTTTCAGGGTATCCTGCTTTGGGTGGTTTAAAACAAAAGGAAAACCCACCCATGTGGGGGGTTCCCACTAAAACAAAAGCGAACCCATTTCGAACGCAAGAAAACTCTTGAAATTGATCCATTGCCAACCTTTCCACGTCACACGTCACACTCACGTCGCCTGAATCTGCGGCAGCTGTGACAGCAGCTGAACCGCAGTCGCGCCGCACAGTGCCCAGAGAGCTTTGGCCGACATTTGGGGAAAAAAAACAAACAGTTCCTCGAGCTCGCGACACAAACTTTCTGAACTTCATGTGCGTATATCCATACTTTTGACCCTCCGGGCATAGAATCATGTCTATGTCCACTAAATCTTGGGCGGCAAAGGCTGCGATTGGGCTCCGGCGAATTTGCCTAGCATGCAGCGACACAACATCTCCATGAAATCAGCGTCGTTTGCCAAAATAAGAACGGCGCTTCTGTGAGGGAACGTTCTTGGGCTTGCTTTCAAGGCAAAGCAAAGTGAGCCAAGTGAGGCTAGCGCCAAAGCTTGGCCCGGAGGGAGGTTTGGAGGTGCTTTGAACCCGTGGGCCTGTCTCAGGAACATCCTTGAGGCTCTTTCAGGGAACAGTGCAGCAAGGTTGCGGGGTCAACCAAAGTCCCGATGGCTCATGGCAGTCCGGCCGTCAGCTAAGTCGGAAGTCAGCAACCTGATTGCGGAAAATGGGCCATCCGCGTTACGAAACAGTTTTGCTTGCCATCCCTCTACCTACAAACTATCAGTTTGAAGAGGACGCCCTTGCCCACTCAGGCAACATGGCAGTCACAAGCCAGCCATCTTCCACAATGGCCAGCGAAGGGACGTGTTGGACGGAAAGACGCCAAGGGAACTTGAAACGTGCAGCTACCAGAACTAGGTTGGTCAGAGGTATTCGACGAATAGAAGCTTCATTTCACAAAGTCGGCCGATTGTGTCTGATGTCAACCCTCGGGGATGTGTTTCTCCACAAAAATATTCCCTGCAAGATGGGACACCTATGTCTAGCCACGGAAACCGGAAGTCTTGCTTGAATCCCATGTAATCAACCCCGGACGCGTGTAGGATATCTCTTCCAGTCAGTTAGCTTCCTTTGGTTTCCCTTTGAAAGAAGTGCAACAAGATCTCCCGTGACACAAATCCAGGGCGTTCAATCCAAGCAAATGACTTTTGGAGAAAAGGCCCCTGCATTTGGCTGGGATGAAACGTAAACCTGACATTCGTTGGGTCCAAATCTCAGCGTAAACATCAATGTTATCCTGAGCCAATTGCAGCTCACAAACCTGAAAGGAATCCCAACGGTACCGCGGTGAGCCCCTTACAATTTGTCCAGATTCTAGTCAAGTTTCAATGAGGACCACCTGACATGGTGAACATGACTCCCCAGGCAACGAATGCCCAAAGAGTCCCTAATCAAGATTCATGCCCAAGTCAAAGAGGATGAATCAGCAGCTCCAGCTGGACAGTTCGTCGATGTTCGTTGGTTTGACGAAACCCTCCTCAAACCGCATCAAACTACACCAAAGCAAACCACCCAAATCTAAACCAAAACTACCAAAACCGAACTAAACCAACATACTCCAAACCAAACCAGAGGGGATACTCCGAAAAAGCAAGCCCTCAGCGCCACTTCAAGCCCTCCGCCTGCTCTCCCCGCAGAGCAGACATCCGCGAGGCCGCTGCCTCAAGGATTCCCCCTTTAAATGGATAGGGGTATGTATGTGTCAAAAAAGGCCGGGGGGTCCGCCCAATGGTTGGTGTCCATCTGTTTCGTCCCTTGAAACCATCCCAAGAATGTGACCCTCAAAACAAATGCACCCATATGAGCCAAGATGCACTGATTTCCGTGGTTGATTGGGGTAGATGATGTGACGAGGTGCCTTCAACGAAAGGCTTCCACACATGGTCCCTCTGAAATACAATTTGCCTGCGTGCTTTCACGCCATTTCAGATCTTACTTGCAAATCATAGTCTGTACAAGAACAAAAACGCTCTCAGGCGTTTGTTTCAATCACACTGATTTTGACAGAACATAGCATATGTATGTGTTTGTGTGTGTGTGGGTGACATCCTGTGTTACATACTTGCCGCCATGCGACGAATCTGCTGCCCATTCTACTTCTGACATCACATGACATCAACGTATTTGCCGCACACTTTGTTGTCTCAAAGTAACTGCACCGCTCTCATGCATGCATGAAACACATGCAGGCGTGGTGCATGTGCTCGAGCTGTTCCTAGTGGAGAGTTGGCCAAATCTCAAATAGGAATCCCTTCCTGAGCCAGGGAAGGATTGAGGATTGCCATTGAACGGCCCAGTCTATTGTGCGCAGCGTCCATTCAAATCAAAAACGGCCTGCTGAATATATTCGCAGTGCACCGCATGCGCCTGGAAATCATAAGCTGCACGCCAGCAGAACAATCACTGCACGTCACCAACTACAAAACATTCAGAGGCATCCTTCATGAACACGGGTCCTCTTATGACTCCGCTGACGCGCAATCCCGGCTTCCAGAACGAAGCACACACACACACACACACATTTGGGGTTGTCTGAAAAGCCAAAACAGTGATGGAAAAGAGTCACCTTTTTTGTTCAAACGGACCCACACCTTATTTGAGGTCTTTGGGGTCAAACGCCCTTCTCAGTTGCCCAAAGGACCCAGAACCAAAAGGCTAACCTTTTTGCTGTTCGTCCTGCGCGCCGAGCCCCCGAGCACGAGCTGCCACCCTCCGAGGCTCTGTTACCAGAACACCTACGGACAATTGGTGGGGACCCTGTTTGTGTCGAGCCCATTGGCCCAACGTGCTTATTCAGCGGCAGCCCAACCAAGAGGAAAAATGGAGGTCAACAAACAGGTTCGGGGTGGAAAAAAACCGGATCCTCACAGAAATGTTCAGGGACAACATCCCCTTCGCATCGGTTGGGATTGGTGGCTTGGCAACCACAATTCATAGGGTTTCATCCATCCCAACTGGTGCCGGATTCTGTCCCTCAACATTATGAATGGCTAACGAATTGATAGCAGGTTGCTTCTCTGATGATGACTTTATTTGGTTACTCCATGCTGATCAGGCTCTTGTAGTATCGATGTTGGGTGGTGGGGCCTCTATTGGTGTTTTGGGGTTTCGGCCACGTGAGCACAAGCCCAGCTCTTGTTAGTTGATTGGCTCACCCTTGAGGAAACGGACCTGCACACTGGCCACTGGCTATGTGTGCGCAAAGAGACATCGTTCTGAAAAAACAAGAGTGGAGAAGAAAGATAGCAAGCAAGCAAGCAAGCAAGCAAGCAAGCAAGCAAGCAAGCAAGCAAGCAAGCAAGCAAGCAAGCAAGCAAGCAAGCAAGCAAGCAAGCAAGCAAACCCAGCAAGCCAACCCAGCAAGCCAGCCAGCAAGCAAGCCCGGCCATCCAGCAACCAGAAAGCAAGCAAGCGAGCCATCCAGTCAGCAAGGAGACAAGCCAACAAAGCGACAAACAACAGCAAGGGGTCCTTCCATGATGCCATGTGCAGATATGATCGATTCTTCCGGCCCCCTGACAAGCTCATCTCAGCCTCCTTCGACATCCTCTAGCACCGCCAAAGGCACAGCCTGAGCGATCGATTTGCTGACTTTGTAGCTGGATTTGGGCATGTGTTTGTGCGAAAGTATACCACAAAAGCTCCTGAATGGTTGTGGTCAACAAAAAACTTCTCATCCCATCAAGAAATGTGAAGTTGGAGAAGCACCTGGAAGAATTGTGCTAAACCCACATCTTGTCTGGAACATGTTGAAAGAGTCTTCGGAGGCAAACAAATGGATTCATATAATTCACCGATCTGACACAATGCAATAGAATGGAACCTTCACCATTGGTCCCAACTTCCCCCCCTTGTGACAGAACCTCTTTTCGCTGACCTGGACCCTCGCTTTTGCCGACCCGCCAACCCGCTTTTTGCCGAAGCCATGGATGCAATGGAACTCACCAAAAGTTTCGGGTTGAGCCAAAACCACCCAAACGTGACCACCCCTTCGGAAGGGCAAGCCAGGCTCGACTCGCCTGAGCTTCTTGGGATTTCTTAGGTCTACGCGAATTGGCCCCAGGATTTTGCAATTCTGTTGGGGCAAACTCGCTTGGCCCTCCAAACGCAAAACGGGGTTGCACACCTCCGACTTCCCCACGAACTGCTCGGATCCCGGATCCCGGGCCGTGGTTTTGCCCGCTCCAGGCGGCGCGACCTGAACTGCGTGCGGGTCCAAATCCTGAAGCCAATCCAAACCGTCAAGGGCTAAGTGGGCCGAATACACAACCAACAAAACATTTAACTGCCTTCATGCCGTAGATGTTAATGCAGAATCGGGTCAGCTGCCTTCCCGTCTTATCATCTTAGACTTCTCCCCTGTCCCGAGTGAACAATATACAGAACAGTTTTGCCCCGAAAGCACGCCTGCAAGTTTGCTGTTGCATGGATTAGTGATGATTAGTGCCAACGCCGCGGCCCTTGTTTCTGGTCTCGCACTTGGATCTGCGCACTTCAGGACACTCGGGTGAGGGCCCGCTTGCTGGCAGGCATCGCGCGCCGACTGCTTTCACCGAGGAAGTGCTATCTCTCCGTCAGGCGCTTAGTCAAGCGGTTGGTCAACGGTCTTGATCAGCCGTCATGACTTCTCCAGCTCATCCACCTCACAACATGCTGACGATTTGCAACTGTGTTTGCTGCCTCCCCACTACAAAGATCAACTACATACCCAAAACAGCCAAGCCACCTTGCGAGGAGCCAAATGGAATTGACAGCACCTCGGGTCACGGATACATCTGCCTGACTTCACAGCCTATATGGGATGAGCAGCACCCGAAACCATTTTATGTTCGGTTCTACAAACAAGGTCGCAAACATCAAGGCTTAAATAAACATAAAACTATCATCTCCATAAGACCAGGTAGGACAACCAATTGTTGAACCGCGGACGACCAACTGTCTGCAGTCATGTCTTTTGGGGGAGGGCGTGGTCATTCATGGTCAGGGGAAAACACAATCCTGTCGCGCGATGTGGCCAAGATACCGAGCTGAGGATATTGGTCAAGCTTTTCTGCAGGTGCTCAGCCCACTTTGCCACCAATGCTCTCCTACCAGACACGTCGCGCAAGAAACCAGTCAGTGCATATGGGTGTCTCTCAAAATTGCGGGATGCCAACAAAGGTGGTTGTCCTTTTGGTTTTCCTTTAAACCAACCTTAACAAGTGCCCTCGAAAAGCGCGCACACACACACAGAGGCAAACATCTCACCCAAACGGTGAACCAGGGTGGAAACTCAAATGGCCATGAAATAGCAATGCTTTTTCCTTCCAAACAGGAGAAATTTGACAAGCCCTGTACATTTGCTCCTTAAGCATCACCCCACCTTCTAAGGTTCACAAGGTGATCTTCGAATCCACCCCCAAAATAACACGCAATACTGAAAAGGGTGATTTCCCCAAATGAGATCGATCCTCATGGCTTTCAGGCCTGTTGTCTCGCAGAGTACGCTAGGAGCTCTTTCTGTGAAACTTATTTGCATGGAGAAACCCTTAGGAGATCCCTCCGTAGAATTGGTTACTGTCTTTTGTATTTCCCCATCTAGCCTGTTCGACATCCATTGGGCCTCATCGATTGCTCTGGTTGGTAATTTCAATCCGAAAAGCGCGCTGCAAAGCGAGCCTTGCAAGCCACAATCCGTAATCTGTAAACCACATAGTGCAATTCGTTAACCGCATAGTTCGCACTCCGCTACTGCTTGGGGATTTGGTTTTGAACAAGCTAGACAATTGAAAAAGAGGTTCTTGCCTGGACAGTGAAAGTACTCGCACCCCAACTGTACAGTTGCAGTTCACTTGCAATCCAGTGACAGTTGTGGGTATGGAGGGCTTGTGCATTCAAATATCCACAACCGCAATCTAATCAACCAAGCCGTTCTTGTGCAAGTGTTACAAAAACTTCAAAACCTGGATCCCCAAGCAAAGGACCTACCTACTTCAGAGTGAGCTCGTTTCCGCCCGACAAGGATAGGATCCCATGATCCTGACTGAGTTGGCTTTCAACAATACCCTAGAATACTTGATTTAGGTCCAATTGCTTCCATGGGCATGTAAATACCTTCCAATGGTGGCTGACCGTTTGAGCCAACCTTGAGCAAGAGTACCCTCAAAGCAACACAAACCAACTCCCACTCGTTTAATTAGGCTATGTGGTGCCATCTGGGCGAATTACTATTTCCAAATCGAACATTGAGAGATCCCTACTCACTCCCTGATTGGATTGACCAAACAAAAGAGTTTCAAACTCCAAAACGGTCCAAACCCGAAAAAGCATCAACACCCAAAACGAAACTCAGGGACTGTGTCAATTGAAGGATTGCCTTCCTTTGGCTTCGTTCGTTGGCCCGAGGTTCTGCGGCACCCGGCGCCAAAGCCGCCGCAGCGCGGCGGCGCTGGACGCCTCGTCCGCGGCCGCGGCGTCGAGGCGCGCCAGCAGCGCGGCAGCTTGGGGGGCACTGAGGCGCTGGAGCGCAGGGGCCAAATCCTGCGACAAAATGCTGCGAGGAAAGCGCCTTTTACTCCAACCAGAAGGAAGCCACCCCAAAAAAGGAAGAAAACCCGATTGACAATAAGGGTCCCTTCCAACGCCGCATGTGTTTGTAATCTCAACCCCCAATATGTCATGGCCAAGTCGTGGCCCTACTCTGTTTGGGGTATTCCTACTTCGTTTTCCAGCTGATTCAGTGTGTTGCCTAAAATTGTGTCCGCCGGCCTTGGTTTCCTTTGGTCTCCAAAGCCTACAACCCAAAAAAGATACCCTCACAAAAACTGGGTTGCTCAAACTGCAGGGATCTCCAATCCTAATCCGTAATCCGTAGTGGGGCACGACACCGAGGGAGTCCGCTATGTACCATCTGGCACACGGATTCTTGTGAATGCACCCAGACAGGCGCGGAAGCATACGCGCACCCAAATAATCCAAAGGATGAGGTAATTTGGTTCACTCCGTCTTTTTGTTGGTGTGTTTGAAGGGAATCGAAATGGCAACAAACGACAGGGAGCCACTCTGGACACGCTCTTCGGAAACCTTGGGGGACTAGCCCAGTTGCCAAAAGAAGAGCTGCCAAGTGTCGAACAGATTGGCAACGGGCTGGATTGGAGTGGGAACGCGGCGACATATGTCTGAGCTCTGGGTTAGCGACAGGAACGACCGATGGATGACTGGGTAGAAAAGACGCTCACTCCTGAGACGGGCGACAAAAACAAACAAACTGTTTGTCTGCCACTGCAATGGTCCAGACCCGAAAAGTTCACCAGGGAGTGAGGAAGTGAACTTGCGACTTGAGATCCGCCGGCAGCCCTTCTGCCGCCCTTCCGAACTGCACCTCTGCCTCCGCGGCTGCTGCCAACATCTGCGCCAGCGCAGGCTGGTTGCAGAAGGCCAGCCACACGTCCCCGCCGGAGCGATCGGCTCTGGCGGCCAGGGAGAGCCAACCTGAGCGCTGAAAACACGCATTGGCGTCTACTAAGATGGCTATGAAGGTCCATGGTCTATGTGCAACCTATATGAAACCGGGTAGTACAGCCACCTCTTCAAATGGCCAATATAGGTTTGCGCGCACTGCTCACCTGCGATGGGATTCAACCCCCTGTCTCCTTTCCGAAGAATGGGATTTGATTTTGTGGGGCAACACGGCGGCTTGTAACTTATAAGAGTCAAACATTTCAGTTGGCCACCCCTCTGCGTAATCCAAAATAGTCATCTATCACGTGATGCATGCTGTTCACACATCTGGGTGATTCATAACCTTACAACCTAAAATGAGGCTTCCTATGAGAGTAACCTTCCATCGTCGGTAGATGTCGCGCATTTCCTAGTGAGGTCGCTGTTTGAAATACACAGGGGCAACCCCTATAACATTCCTCTCGATCTTCCTAACAAGCCTCAAACAAGGCACCCTCAAGTCTGAAAATCGTGGGAGCATTTTGGGTGTCCCCCTAGTAGGAACATGGCATTGCTTTTCTCGGCGTGCCACTTAGCAAAACGAGCGGAGTTACCATCAACTCGATTGCACCATCTCGCCGATAAGCCCTTGTGCGGCAGTTCAAACCAGCAGTGAATTGTTTCATACTTTACACATGTTAGCTGTTGATTGAACAACACATTTGCCAGCACCTTCCAAGGACTGTTATTTTGCCCCCAAATAATTCTCAGCTAAGAGCACTTACCATTCTGCTAGCACCAGGGCAGGCACGTTTATGTTCAATAGTTGTGCAAAACACACCGCACCAAATTTGCGTTCATCCCAGGGTGCAACACCGGATTCTGGTCAAGACTGGACGGGAAAACGGCGCAATTGCTGGCAACAGTATACACATGGACGGATAAATTTTGTCAACGACAAGTCGAAGGGAACCCACCATTGGGCTCCCAAATGAATGCACATCCAGGGAAAGTTGTTCAACCCACCGTTTACCTGGCATCGAAACATATGTTTGTTAAGGATAAACCGTCTTTGACATACAATCACACACACACACAAAACAAATCAAACAAACAACAATTCAAAGAAGCAATCGAAACATCAGGCTGAAGCAGGTTGCAACTCAAAGTACTCCAGGAGAAGTTGCTTAAAGCTTCTCAACCACATTCTGAACTGGGAAGACTCGGTTGGGCATTGATTTGTGGCAGCAATGCCTTAGGCTGCGGATGCCCTAACATGCCCTAACATGCCCTAACCCTATTCCCGGATTCCCGCCCTCCAACTGCCATGTTTCCACCGTTGAGCCGTCATGGAACCCGTGCGGAAATCCCACTCAACTGCAAGCACACCAGTGTCATTATGTTTTCTCACCAAGAGGCTTGATTTCAGCTTCCCTCTGATTGGTGGCTTGGATTGGTAATTTGGTAGTTAAGGTATGGAACCCCAAATACCACTCGAAACCATCAATTGTTGTATGCCCAATTTTCCGAAAGGCGCTGGGGTAAACCCCTCCTGGATCGGGGCATGGGCTGCGGCCTGCCGAGGTGCGGACAAACTCCTTGACGCTGGCAGGAGGTTTCCTCAGCCGAAGGAAGCAATGGGCTTCAGGGCTTCCCCCGTTTTCACCCCAAGGGTTCCCGTGAAACACGAACCCATTGCTTGGCGCTTTCTTGTGGTCTCTCAACAGGGCCCAAACTGGGTACACTCAACAAAAGGCTGGGTTGCTTAAAAAGGGGACG